AGCAGCATCACTAGTCCTCGTAGTACATCATGAAGTAAACTCAAAGACCCACCACAGCCTCCAGCCTCCACCTCCACCCGCGAGCCGCCACCGCTGCCGCCCGCGACGCCGCCCGCCGCGTCAGATAGCCGCGACGCGCGCATCGAGTCGCGTCGGAGAGCCGCGCCGCACCAGCAGCAGCATCTGCACCACCAGCAGCAGCAGCACCACCACCACCACCACCACCCGAGAGAGAAGCGCACCTGCCCGACGCCGCCCGCCGCGTCAGACGCTCGCGACGCGCGCGTCGAGCCCAGTCGCAGAGCCGCGCCGCGCCAGCAGCAGCATCTGCACCAGCAGCAGCAGCACCACCACCACCAGCAGCAACAGAGACAGGCAGTGCAGGCGCAGAAGCGCTCGCAGAGCTGCGCGCAGCGCCGCGCACGCCACGCTGCGGACCGTCGTACGAGCGCACCGTACGTCGGCGGCGAGCCGCGTCGCCAGCCGTCTCGCGAGAGAGCGGCGCCGCCGGGTGCGCGCAGCAGCCGCCGCGGCAGAGGCGAGCCGCGGCGACGTCCGACTAACGGATAGAGAGAAAGAATTTTCGAGAGAGAAAGAAAGAAAAGAATCTTACCTCAAAACTCCCTCGCACGACACTGGGCACGGGACTGGCGCGCACTGGCACGAAGAAAAGAAACAAAACACACAAGGCAAGGGAGGGATGGGAGAACGGCACGCCGCCACCACACAGGGATTTTAAGGAGAGGAGAGTGTGATGCGCTAGCCGTCGCCCACCCTGGGGAGTCTACAGAGAGAAAGAAAGAAAGAAACCAGAGATTTTTCTTTCTCGCGATGTCTGCCCCGCGCCGCCTCGCCCCCTCCTCCACCGCCGCTCCCTCGCCAAACGCGCCGCCGCCCGCCCGCCTGCTCGACCTCCCCACGGAGCTCCTCGTGCGCGCCATCTCTCGCCTCGGCGGCCCCCTCGACATCGCTCGCGTCGCGGCCGTCTCGCTGCTCTTCCACGCCTCGCTCGCGGTAGAGAGCATCCGCTTGTGGGCGCAAGAGCGCGGCTTCGAGCTGCCGGCGCAGCCGGAGGGCGAGAGCTGCGCCGTGAGGTGGCTGTGCTATTCTGCGCTGCTGCGCGAGTCCAACCTGCCGACGAGGGCGGCGGCAGGCATGCAGCACAGCCTCTTCATCGACGCCGAGGGGCGGCTCTCGTCGTGCGGCGGCGAGGGGGCCCCAGGCCTCCTCGGTCACGGCGAGGGCGTGACGCGGCTCAACACGCCGACCCGCCTCCCGTCGACGCTGGGTGGCGAGCGCGCTGTGAGCGTGTGGGCTGGAGATGCGCACAGTCTGACCCTCGCTGCCGACGGAGCTGTCTGGAGCTGGGGCCGCGGAGGCTACGGCCGGCTGGGCCACGGCGATGAGGGGCACCAGTGGCAACCGAAGAAGGTCGAGGCCTTTGCTGGCCAGCGCGTCGTCGCCGTGTCGGCTGTAGACACGCACAGCCTCGCCATCATCGCCGACGGCGCTGTGTGGAGCTGGGGCTTTGGAGGCTGGGGCAAGCTGGGCCACGGCGACGAGCAGCGCCAGCTGCTGCCCAAGAAGATCGAGGCTTTTGCTGGCCAGCGCGTCGTCGCTGTGTCGGCTGGAAGCGGGCACAGCCTCGCCCTCACCGCTGACGGCGCCGTCTGGAGCTGGGGCAATGGAGGCCATGGCAAGCTGGGCCACGGCGACAATCGGCACCTGCTGCTGCCAAAGAAGATCGAAGCCTTTGGCCAGCGCGTCGTCGCTGTGTCGGCCCATGAGCACCACAGCATCGCCCTCACCGCCGACGGCGCCGTTTTTACCTGGGGCAAGGGTGCCGACGGCTGCCTGGCCACGGAGAGGACCTGTCGGACCAGCTGCTGCCCAAGAAGGTGGAGGTGTCGCGTGCGCTGCGTCGTGTGTGACGGTGGACTGCGTGCTGCCGTTCGTGATGCAGCTGGCTACACGCTGGAGCTGCATACGCTGAGTGACGCTCGTAACCCTTAACATCGAAAAGAAAAAAGAAAACATCCACGGCGCAGAGGGGCCCCCGGAGGGATGCTCAACCGCTCCACGCCACGCCGCTTGCGGCGGTCCTATTCCCAGCTCCGCTGAGGGCCCGCGCTTTCTTTCTTTTTCACAAAAAAGAAAACATCCAAAGCTTTACCGGTTGGGCTGCCTCTCCGCCGGCCCCAGTCCTGGGGCATGTGGCCGTTCGCGGAGCAGGAGGAGGCGGACTCGAATACGAGAGCGGTCGCACTGGCCGCCATCGCGCTTGGTCTGGCCATCTCCTCTTTCCTCTATCTGTGCCAGCGGCAACCCGCCACGGCCTCCCCAACGAAGCCATCGCAGCCTTCGCAAACTGCACCAACTCGAAGCCGCAGCCCAGCGCGTTCCAAGCTCAGCAAGGCTGGGGCAGCGACGCCTCGCGCTCTCAAAGGGCTGGAGATAGACATGGCGATGCCTGCTTCGGGCGGGTCCAGAACGCGTCGCCGCGCTGCATGACCGCTGGGCTGACACCAGGCGCGTGCGTGCAAATTGAAGCGACCTGAGGCGACTCGGAAGATGGCCACTCGGCGTCGCTGCACACTTGCAAGCGAGGAGGGCGGCTGTTTATTGACCATTCAACTAAGTAATTCTGTATTGCCGCTATATTATTGAGTGCGCCACGCGCTGACGATTGAGCACGCCCTGGCGCGTCGGTCGTCTTTCGAGGGGCGGAGGACCCGAGGAGCACCCGCCTCTGCAGGCAGGGTAGTAGCTGCGCGCACTGCGCGCCGTTTTAGTTTTGTGCCGATTCGGGTCGGTGCGTCGGTCCGGTGCTTTATTTGCGATGTGTGTCTTGTGCACGCGTGCCGCGGCGTGGAGTGTGCACTGTGTGCTGTGTGAAGCCCCTCGCCTGAGTGTGCTGCGCATGCGCGCCCCCCCCCTCCACATGTTTTTATTGTAGTCGTTACTCTATTACTGACCCCTGTGCCCTGAGGTCCACGCATGTTGTTGACAGGTGACACATTAACGCCTTGACGGTGACGCCCCTTCCGCGGCTGGCGAGCCACCGCTCGGTAGCAGCGGGACGGTGATGGCCGAATGCGCATGCATCGCTGTCGGCAGCGCGAGGCTGTCCACGGTGCGCCAGCCGGATCGGCCGCCCTCGCCCTTGGCGGCGGTGAGCGTGCACGCGGGCAGCCGCGAGAGGAGTCGCTGCACGTGGGGCTCGTCGAGCGCGAGCGAGCGCACCTGCTCACAGCAAGGGGTGTGAAGAGAGACGCTGTTCACAGGTGGGGCTCGTCGAGCGCGAGCGAGCGCACGTGTAAGGAGGACTCGTACCGCACGCGCTGCTCCGTTGAGTCGGACGCGGCGGCAGCGCTGCGCCTAAGGGGGAGGTGAGGCCGTGCAAACGTCTCCACACGCAGCAGTGCGGGGCTCTCCCCCTCCCCCTCCGCAGCTCCACGTCCCCGAGACGGGCGAAGGGGCTCCGTGAGATTGAGAGAAGAGGAACCACCGCGGCGGTGAGAGTGCAAGGGCCGGTCCGGTGTGTGCGGGCTGTGCGCGCGCGCGTGTGTGCGTGTGTGCGCTCGTGTGGAGGGTGGTGGTGGTGGTGGGGGGGGGGGGTAAGGGAGTGGGAAGGGGGGGGGGGGTTTAAGGGAGTAGGAAAGGGGGGGGGGGGAATGGGGAAGGGGGGGGGGGGGGAGGGTTGCGCCTCGCGTCTGGGTCCGCCAGCAGCTTCGCCGCGTACTCGACGGGCGGCGCCGGGCCGGCCGAGGCGGCCTCCCCCTCTCGCGCCACCCGAGCCAGCAGACCCCTAGTGTCGAGCGGCGGCGGCAGGTCCTCGTACCGGCCCTCCCAGCGCGCCGTCGAGCCGTCGAAACGTCCTGTTCACAGCAGGAGGGTGTGAAGAGGCGTCCACGCCCTCCCAGCGCGCCGTCCGTGGAAAACGCCGCCACGACCCTCGTCCACCCCGCCAGAGATGTAGAGCCTGCCCTGCACGACGGAGAGGTCCGCGCCTGTTCACAGCAAGGCGTGTGAAGAGACGCTGTTCACACCTGCCGTTGCACGACGGAGAGGTCCGCGCCGACGCGACCCGCCGAGCTCACCTCTCCCAGGCTGCTCCACTCGCCAACGGTCCACAGCGGCACCTAATTAATATTAATTAATTAATTAATTAATAATCAAGGCTGCTCCACTCGCCAACGGTCCACAGCGGCACGTTCGTGATCGAGAAGCCCTCGCCGTGCTGCTGCTGGAACGCCCACTTGCCTGGCTCGTCCGGCAGGTGTGAACAGCGTCTCTTCACACCTCTTGCTGTGAACAGCGCCCACTTGCCTGGCTCGTCCGGCGGCAGCAGGAAGCGGAAGCAGCTCACGCGGCACGGCAGCGCCGCAATGCGCGGGGCGACGCCTGACATGACGGAGGCCATTGGGCGAGCTGACTCCTCTCAGACCCGACTGCGTGCTGCCTCCCCCCCCCCCCCCTGGCTTCCGTCGCGCCTGTGTAGCCTGGCGCGCGCGCCGGGCGGCCCGACGAAACGAGGAGGTGCTGCCCCCACTCGACCGCCTAGGAGACGGTTCCTAGAAGGTTCCTAGAAGGTTCCTCGACGGCTCCCACACCTGCCTCCGCTCGACCGCCCCGTGCGCGCTCACGCCGAGCTCGGCGGGGCACAGGTCAGACGTCGCTCGGCTCGAGGGTGGGGTGCGGCTCGTCTTGACGGCCTAGGAGAAGGTTCCTAGAAGGTTCCTAGAAGGCTCGAGGGTGGGGTGCGGCTCGTCTTGACGGCCTGGTGCAACGAGCAGGGCGGGTAAGGGTAAGGGAAGGAGGTGTGGAGGAGGCGGAGGCGGAGGCGGAGGAGGCGGAGGAGGAGGCGGCGGCGGAGGAGGAGGAGGAGGAGGAGGAGGAGGAGGAGGAGGAGGAGGAGGAGGAGAGGGAGGAGGAGGAGGAGGAGGAGGCCCGTGTGTCCCGCACTCTCTCGGCTGCAGAGGCCCGTGTGTCCCGCACTCTCTCGGCTGCAGAGGCCCGTGTGTCCCGCACTCTCTCGGCTGCAGAGGCCCGTGTGTCCCGCACTCTCTCGGCTGCAGAGGCCCGTGTGTCCCGCACTCTCTCGGCTGCAGAGGCCCGTGTGTCCCGCACTCTCTCGGCTGCAGAGGCCCGTGTGTCCCGCACTCTCTCGGCTGCAGAGGCCCGTGTGTCCCGCACTCTCTCGGCTGCAGAGGCCCGTGTGTCCCGCACTCTCTCGGCTGCAGAGGCCCGTGTGTCCCGCACTCTCTCGGCTGCAGAGGCCCGTGTGTCCCGCACTCTCTCGGCTGCAGAGGCCCGTGTGTCCCGCACTCTCTCGGCTGCAGAGGCCCGTGTGTCCCGCACTCTCTCGGCTGCAGAGGCCCGTGTGTCCCGCACTCTCTCGGCTGCAGAGGCCCGTGTGTCCCGCACTCTCTCGGCTGCAGAGGCCCGTGTGTCCCGCACTCTCTCGGCTGCAGAGGCCCGTGTGTCCCGCACTCTCTCGGCTGCAGAGGCCCGTGTGTCCCGCACTCTCTCGGCTGCAGAGGCCCGTGTGTCCCGCATCTAGGTGTGTGGCGGCCCTCCAGCCGCACTCCGGCCGCAGCGTGTTGTACGCCCACAGGACGGCACCCTCCTCCGACTCGTGCACTGTTCACAGCAAGAGGTGTGAAGAGACGCTGTTCACACCTGCAGGACGGCACCCTCCGACTCGTGCACGCCCCCAGGGGTAGTGGTGCGCGCCAGAACGACCAGCCGGCCCCACACCTGTTCACAGCTCGAGGTGTGAAGAGAAACTGTCCACGGGCGCCAGAAGGACCAGCCGGCCCCACACCGCCGCGACCGGCGCGAAGGCGAGTTGGCCGCCCGAGGAAGGACCGCCGCCCGCCTAGGAGAAGGCTCCTAGAAGGTTCCTAGAAGGTTCCTCGAGTTGGCCGTCCGAGGAAGGGCCGCCGCCCGCCTAGGAGAAGGCTCCTAGAAGGTTCCTAGAAGGTTCCTCGAGTTGGCCGCCCGAGGAAGGGCCGCCGCCCGCCTAGGAGAAGGCTCCTAGAAGGTTCCTAGAAGGTTCCTCGAGTTGGCCGCCCGAGGAAGGGCCGCCGCCCGCCTAGGAGAAGGCTCCTAGAAGGTTCCTGGAAGGTTCCTCGAGTTGGCCGCCCGAGGAAGGGCCGCCGCCCGCCCGAGGGGGAAGATCCTCGAGGGGCTGCCACCCGCCCCCCCTCGCGCCCAGGTCGAGCACCACTGCGTCTGCCGCGCCGTCCGGCTGCACGTACGTCCCTCCCACGATGTACACCTTGCCATCGATGTGCGCGCCGCCGCACCCGTGCCGCGCCGTCGGCATCGCAGGCAGCGGCGCCGCGGCCCGCGCGATGGCGTCGTACTCGAACGCCGACGCGAAGAAGCGCGACGTGCGGCCCGGGTGGTCGTCGCAACCTCCGGCGACGACGAAGCGGCCAGCGCCGACGCTCACCACTGCGCAGTCGATCCGCACGATACCGTCTGCGACCCGGTCCGCGCCGTGCACGCGAGGCCCTCCAGGCGCGCGGCCGTGGAGAGGCCGCCAGACGAGCCCGCCTCGCTCGATGCCGACGGCGCTCCACTCTGGCACCATCCTCCCGAGCGAGTAGCCGGAGGTGAGGGCGAGCGTCTCGCGCGGCGAAAAGTGTTTGGCCACCTCGAGCGCGAGCCCCTCCTCGCCGTGGAACTTTTCAACCAGGAAGGCCCGTGCGACGCGGAGCTCGAGCTGCCGCTCCCACACAATGCGAGTCAGGAGGGCGGTGCGGTCCTGCGCGCGGCTCATCTTGAGCAGGTTTCCGCGCCGGATCGAGAGGCCTTTCCGGCTGCCATGCAGCAGCTGCACCTTGAGCCGTTCGCCACTGCTGTCGAGCACTCGTGCGGGCTCAAAGTTGTGCTGCCGTGAGAACTCCAGCCCGACGATGACGACGAGATCGTTCTCCGTCAGGGCCAGCGAGTCGAAGCGCGATAAGAGCGACTCCGTCATGGCCGAAACCCTGGTGAGTAGTCGCGGAGCTGGCGAAAGGCGGCAAGAGGTTATGTAAAACAAATGCATCTGCTCTCCCGCTTCTCCCGTACGCATGCCCATATGCACCCCGCCACGCACCAAGACCTGCAAACCCGTCGTTGCAAAATATATCTTCCCGCCCCCCACCTGGATGCACGTGGCACCGCGCCGCGCGCACGTGACACGAGCAGCGGTCTCACGCGTGCATCCAGGAATCCGGCGCGGCGTGAGACCTCTCACTCAGTCACCGCGCCCACTTGCGCCTCGATCTTCTTTGGTAGCAGCTGATCCGACAAATCCTCACCGTGTCCTAGGCAGCCGTCGTCGCCTTTGCCCCAGGTAAAGAAGGCGCCGTCGGCGGTGAGGGCGAGGCTGTGCGCGCTTCCAGCCGCCACAGCGACGACGCGCCGGCCAGCAAAGGCCTCGACCTTCTTGGGCAGTAGCTGGCTTTGCGTGTCGCCGTGGCCCAACCGGCCTTGGTATCCGTCGCCCCAGCTCCAGACGGCGCCGTCGGCCGTGATGGCGAAGCTGTGGTCGCGTCCAGCCGCCACAGCGACGACGCGCTGGCCAGCAAAGGCCTCGATCTTCTTGGGCAGCAGCTTGTTCTGCTCGCCGCCGTGGCCCAGCTTGCCCCAGTCTCCATTGCCCCAACTCCAGACGGCGCCGTCGGCCGTGATGGCGAAGCTGTGGTCGCGTCCAGCC